CTACTCTGCACCATACGGAAGTTCAGTTTCATGTTCAATTGAATCGAAGGAGCTTAACAAACCAGATATTATAAGAAATCCGGCTATTTAGTGACAGCATACGTAGTTTCTTACACAGTGACTTACAAAGTGAAACTTGCATTTCATTATTTCAAACAAATGCTATACAAAAAAACAGACATACTTCCTACTTGGCATTGACATTTTGACATGGTTCCATAACAACTAGATGCTTGTTCATAGAGTAAGGTAGAAAAATTGGAATCCATGCTAATAAACTATAGAGGAATGTGTAAGGCCAACCTACTGGTGACATTTTATATTACTATTATTTCCATGAATCATTTGGCACCAAATTCATCAGAGCATGGCGTGTCGATGCATATTATGTGCAGATGCAAACATAGGTGATTTAGGTGCACCAAAGGAAGAGATGATTTAAGATTTCTCGAGGCAACATTTTGGGGGATACTGTTGAGAAGTGGTCTATAAAGGACACATGTCAGTAATTTAAAATATCCAAAGAGAAATGTACAAAGATTCTCCATTGAGGTAGCACGGCAGTATGCAATTTACAAAATGCAAGTTATATGAGTGTTAAGAAGTTTCAGCAACAGTACTGCCCATTGAACCTTGGGGTTAGCCTTTGAGAGAAATTCTTCCGGTGGAATAAAGGGGGTCCCAAAATCTTCTAAAACAAAAAGTGGCTGCCTCCAAAAGGGGGTCTTTCCAAACAAATTTATGAGCTTTCTTGCTGTCCCACTTTTTCCCATTTTTGACTAGAAATGGTTTCAGCACTTGACTTACAACACAGTCTGCCAAATGGTTAAAACAAGATAAGAAAATATGAATTTGAGATAACTGAACCAAGCAAAGGTTAATGACAAATGCAAGCAAATTTACAACATTTTAATCACCTGTGTTTAAGAGGGTACCATCTAAATCAAGAATGACATGGGAAATAAGCCGAGCAATGGGCTTGGGAGCTGCCATTTTTAAAAATTGGAAGAGCTTAGTGCAGCAAGAGACAAGCTATCTGGGAAGCCCAACCTGACAAAATGCCAAAATATTCAGGCCAACATGACATTGATAATGAGATGTACCCATAGAAGAAAATTGATGTTAAGTAGCTCATATGGTAGCCATGTAAGTAATTATGCTGCTTTAACATAAAAGGTGAGTCCAGTAATGTGTTTAAGAATGGATTATCATATTTCCAATTATTTATAGGTTTAAACAGATTTTATAACATGTTCTTATAACTAAATTAGTAAGAAATCAGAATTAAAAGCAAGGTTTTCAAGCTTTGATGGAAAATGAGTACTGTTCACAGGCAATCAGTATACATACATATTAAGCAATGTTTAGGGTGATCATGAAACAATTGGAACAATTAAATGCTTCATATTTCCATATACGCGGGCTTGCTATTTTGTTGTAAAATTGGAACTTTGTTTCAAGCTGAGATTGTGTTTAAAATTGCTCCTTTGGCTGTCCTCAACTGGTCACATAAGTTCACTCGGTTTATACTAATTAAGGTTACGAACTAAATGATGAGGCCATGTCATCAGCACTAGACTGAATTCTACAAGATGGCAAAGGCAAAATACTGGCATGACGCACAATAACCCTCCAGCCCATGCTACCAAGGTGAGCTGAACCGTCCGCAACCAGCAGCAACAGATTGCTGCGAGACAGCCTCAGACTTGGCATGAAGCCAAATTCGCCCGCTTGGGGCGCCCGGCTCAACCCCACCACACTAGGGCATTTCACCGAACAGCTACCGCGCAGAGGTGAGGCGACTCTATACGTCTGAGCAACAAGGGCGATCCCGCAATCTAATCCAATCCCCCCCACCCGCCTCTCTCGTTCCCGTAGCTACCGAGCACGCACCCGCCAACGCACGCGAACCAACCCCGCTGCTCGGGGAAGGCATCAACGGCGATGTACGCCCCACCCCCCGGGCGCGCCTGGCGGAGGGGAGGACCGGACGAGCGAAGCGACCACGGTGGAGGTGAGGTTCAGGAGGGCTGCGGCTTACCCCGCATGTGTCCGGCGACGGCGTCCTTCCCTGCAGCTGCCTCCGGCGACGGGCTCCGGCGGCCTTGGCGGAGGGAGGCCCGGGAGGAGGGGGGATAAGCCGAGGGGACGGTGGGACTTGGGACGGAATGATTCGGGTGGAAACGGTGAGTGGGTGGGAGACGTGGGAGTGGGGATGGGGAGCGACCCGGAGAGAGACGGGCTCGAATCCGACCCGCAGAGGCGGCGATCGGGGATTTTTTTTAAACTTTTTATTTTTTTAATATTTATAAAAATATTATTCCGATAAAAATATTTACATAAGTAAACCCTGCAGCCACTAACGGCCGCTGAGCGGGCATACGAATTTTGCATGCGATGAAAATTGCGTTTCGACAAGGGACCTCAATGCAAAATACGCACACGGCGCCGTGTGCCGCACTGCCACGTCACCTTGTTGCTCTTCACTTGGGCGGGTCTATTTCTGTAAATATTAAAAAAAATTAAAAATGAAAAAAAATCGCGATCGAGCAGCTCGAGAAGTGGGCCTCACGCGATGCGCGGAGGCGGGCCTGGCCGTGTGATACTAAGCGGCCGACGATGAGGCCCAACACCTGGCATGCAGAGTCAATTAAATAGTTCTAATAAATTTAAATAATTAATAAGATGGGTTAGTATTATATATCACTCCATAATCTAATTTTAAATTCGAATTCAACAAATTATAAAAAATAAATTTGACTATGAATTCAAATGGTTGTTTTTTTGGTTAAAGAATGGAATTGCTAGAAACTTTTGCAAGTTTTTTCTCCCAAAACTTCCAGATTTGTGGCCATCGAATCATCTCAAGATTTATGCATGAAGGAAAAAATTGCTACAAAGAAATTTTTACACATATAAGCGTAAGATCCCGGTGCTAGCCAATCAAACCATAGTCGAATATAAGTTATATCGTAGTTATAGTGCAACTATAGGGCATGTTTGGGGGAGCTTCTAGCCGCTGTAGCTTCTCCTAGAATCAGAAGCTCCCCTAACAGTTTAGCTTTTGGTTCAGATTCTGAGAAGCTGTAGTTATAGCTAGAAAATAAACTAGAAGCCAAAAGCTGGGAAACTCAATTTTTCCAAATTCTCAGAAATTGGTTACCAACTAGCTGCTTCTTAAAATTTTAAGCTCCCCAAATAGGCCCATAATATAGTTACAATATAATTATACTTTAGTTATTCTATACTTACATTTGAAAGTTTTTTACTCAAAATTACATTCTATCATTCTTAAGTGACTAGCTAAGGGCCTGTTCACTTTGATGCTAAAAAAAACCTTACCACTTGCCAAAATTTTGGTAGTATTTCTTATATAGTTACCAAAATTTGGCAGCAAACTAAATGTAGTTATTTTTTGGCAACTTTACCAAAATTTGGTAAGGTTAAAAATGGCATCAAAGTGAACAGGCCCTAAATACCCATGCGTTCCAATGGGATTTACAATAAAGCCCAAAAAGAAAAAAAATCCCAACCTCTAATCATCATATCATATATTCATATTTGGTATGCTTCTAATCGGTCGTCCAATCCAAACATAAAAATCGGACAGCTCTTGACTGCCTTGCTCTGACATTTGTGACCGCACATCAGCACATGCGATGCATGCCACCTTTGCCAGTGACTTGCTACTGCATACCTATTGCTACTCTCTCTCTTCTCTCTCCACTCCATGCTTGCATGCATACATTTCATAATATTCAAAACGATTTTTCTCCTAAATTACTTATCCAATCTACAATTCGATCACACCATTGTATTCGTTGTAATGAAATCTTCACAACAAAATGTCACATGATTATATTATAATAAAAAATAATTATATGTTTCAATCTGTTAACATTCTTTGTTTCATACGTAATAGCGATATGTTTCAATGTGTGTATTCAACATGTTTCGCAAAATTTCCAAAACTAACTGCACTACTCTCTCTCCACCTCATCCATACATGCATGCATGCATTTTAACAAGTTTCAAAATACTTTTTCTCCTAAACTAATTATCCAATCTACGATCCGATCCCATCGTTGTATTCATTTTAACAAGATATGGCTTGATTATATTTTGATAAAAAAATAGCGTATGTTTTAATCCGTTAATACTTGTTGTTTCATATGTGACAGCGACATGTTTTAACGTGTATCTTCACCATGTTTCATAAAATATTCAAATGTTTCAGTTGCTAGTTTTTTGTTTCACCATATATAACTTAATGTTTCACTTGTTGGTTAACTGCAACATTTGACCGTCCGATATTTTTTGGGGCATTGGACGTCCGATGGGTAGATTCCTCCTACCCATCGGACGTTTAATGTTTCACTTGTTGGTTAACTGCAACATTTGACCGTCCGATATTTTTTGGGGCATTGGACGTCCGATGGGTAGATTCCTCCTGTACGTTGAGCTACTCAATTGATCGTAGAGAGTAACAATTGATATAAATTATCCATATTGTATTTTAGTGTATCTATATTATTGTATTTGATTTATAGAGTGAACATTGACATCATGGGCCCACATGAAAGTGGTGGCGGTGGTGGCAGAACCATCACTACGACTATAGAAATACTAAAAAAATACATATTAATATATATTTTCCTCAAAAAATACATATTAATTTAGGGTTAGGATTTATCTTATAATTCTTTTAAAAAATGTATTTTTTTATAAATTAGCGTGGACATACACTCAAAGTGATTAGAATCTCTCTCCGAGCTCATCTCGCTTTGATTTGCCTAGCTAGATTATTTCTTTATTTACACTATAACTTACTTCCATTAGATTAGATATATGATTGTATATTTTTTTTCCCTTATAATCGATATATTTTTCTGATCATATGCTATCACGTTCTTTTATTTTAGAACGTACAGCACCTTAATGATCATGTGGTAGGCAATAACCACGCGTCCATGCCAATGTTAGAAGGATATCATAGCCCTAAGAAAAACTTCCTAACAAAAGTTTGATCACCATTTGACAACCATCCTCTGCACCAACCAAACCATGTCCTGATGTCATGTGACCCTCGGTATAAGACTGACCCAACGGTCGGTAAACTGAAAAAAACCTCACTGCAACGAACGAGAAAGATACATGAAACGAACGAAACAATGGCTTCCATATGGTTCTCTCCCACCTAGTACTAGCTAAGCTAGCTTCTGCTTCACAAGTTATTATTAGCTACTGCATTCGGCGTTGCCATGGCGCGCGCGAACATCACGAACGCCGCCCGGGGAACGACATGGCCGGCCTCACCGAGCGGCGCCGCAGCTGCGACGGCTGCGGCGGCGGCGACAGCGACAGGGACTGCGCCGGTAGCGGCGCCGAGCGGCTCATCGCCACGACGACCTCCGGCTGGAGCGTCTGCGAGCGCTGCAGCATGTCGACCATGAAGGGCGTCTGGTAGGTATGGATGACGCTGGTGAGCTCCGTCGAGTCGCCGCGCGCCGTGGCGCGCTGCCACAAGTGGGAGCTCAGGCCGGCGAGCATGTAGGCGCGGCCGGACTCCTCGTACCGCTGCCGCGTCTCCACCCTGTCCTGCATCTCCCTCAGCTCCGCCGCCAGCGCCACGGAACTGCGGGTCGTCGTCCGCCCGCGAACTCGAGCACGCCGCGGCGCTCGTCGAGGATGGCGGCGGCCAGCTCGAAGTCGCCCCGCTCCGCGGCGGCGCGCGCGGCGGCCATGTCCTCCGTGGCCTGGACGCGATGCAGCTCCCGCTCGACCTCCGGCGACATGCCGTCGTAGCCCACGGGGGCGTCCACCGTGCGAGGGACGGTCACCGTGTCGCCCCCGACGCGGACGGTCTCCATGGTGGCCGTGCTCCGGTAGGTGCAGCTCGGCGTGATCAGGGCGGACACCCCGCGCGCCGCCGGGACGCGCACGGTGACGAGGAAGTCCCTCTCCTCGTCGGCGTAGAGGTCGCCGACGTCGACGAAGCCGCCGCGGCCGTCGCCGTCCACGTGGCTCGCGTAGCCGCCCGACCTGACGGAGGTCAGCAGCACGCCGTCGTCGCCGCACTCGACGCTCAGCCGCAGCTCCTGCGCCACCACGCTGAGTAGGCCGCCGATGCACTGGGCGAACGCGTCCTGGATCGAGCCCGCCGCGTCGATGAACGAGAACGTGCCGCCGGACATCTCAGCGATGGAGTGCATCGCCGGCGAGTCGTGGTCGGCGCCGAAGCCGAAGGCGTGGACCTGCACGTGGCGCGCCGACCCGCCACCGGGAAGGAGCGAGCTCGGGACGAGCACGGCGTAGTCCGGCTGGTCGCCGCCGCCGCCGCCGCCGCGCGGCACCGGGACGGTGTAGGTGTCCCGGCCGTCGGAGAGGAGGACGATGCTGCACACGGGGTTCCTCTCCCTCCTGTCCTCCATCACCCTCGCCGCCTTCCTCAGCGCGTCGGCGATGTTGGTGCCGCCGTCGGCGACGAGCGAGCTCACCCTCTGCAACGCGCGCTGCCGCCCGGACTCCGTCATCTTCCTCAGCGGGAACAGCCTCCTCGCCGACGACGAGAACGTGACGACGGACAGCCGGTCGCCGGGGCCGAGCGCCTGGATCACGAAGCTCATGGCGCGCTTCAGCAGCGCCAGCTTCGTCCCGGCCATGCTCCAGCTCACGTCGAGCACGGTGACGAGGTCGATGGGCGCGCGGGAGGTCACCGTCGCCGGAGAAGACGGAGCCTTCAGGTGGATCAACACCGCAAACTCCTCAACCATCACAGACTCCTCCATCGCCGGGAACGCAGCGTACGTCGTGATCCCAACAGAAGCAGGCGCCATTTCATCAGCGACGATCGAATCAACATCCTGAGTTCCAACCACATCTTCAGCAGGATGAAGATCCAACTGTTCATCGTCATCGAAAATGCCGCCATCCAGCGTACGAAAGATCGGGAGCTGCCATTGCCGGGTCACGCTGTCTCCGCGAGACAGCCTGCGGACAACGGCCATTCGCTGATGCTGATGCCTGTCATCCAGTGGGTGAGGGTTCACTCGAGCTGTTCCAAGAAGACTAGCATCTGCTGCTGCTGCTGCAGGGAGAGGGCCCTGGAACGGCAGCTCCTTCCACACGGCGCGGCAAATCGGGCAGACGGTGTTGCCGTGGCGAACGCTGGAGGAGATGCAGTGGAAGTG